CATTAGTTCGTTATCATTACTAAGGTGCAGGACTGCCTTTTTTTTCACATCATGTCGCCTGCCTGGATCTGTTACTATCTCGCTCTGAGTCACGAAGGAGTGTCAGAGGTAAGCTCGCTTCAACTGCTATTTATGTTGTGGTCTCATTTCCGGACCCAGGCATTTTTTGAATGAAGCTGATATTTCAGTTAAAATACATAAGTAAAAATATTTATCCGAGTAAAGTACTACCCCCCAACTTTATGGATGATTTTGTGGATTTAATTTTACGTATTATGCTTGAATAAATACGGTAAATCAGTGCTTTTTGCAAATGGTAAATAAATTCTCCTTACTGAAAAGTCGGCATCCTCTGCCCTGAGATGATCGGCGATGTACTGAACTCCCTCGATGGCTCGTTGCATAGCTGGTGAGATTGTTGGGTTCGGACGATCCAATTGGGTGCTTGCGTCTTTGGTGGACACGGTTGTTGGGGTTCCTGGCGAGTTGTCATTAGAGGGTGCTTTGTTCACCTGCTTCGGGGTCCCCTTTACCCCATCGTCATGCAGACAGCAGTACTGAAAACTGTGGGAGCGACATCGAGGCTCAGACTTCTGAGGAGGCTCCTCCTGGTGGTYGCACATTTGCTCTGCGCTGAAGGAGCGACTGTTTAGGGCCAGCGTGCTCGGTCGCTCTTTGGAAAGGTTCTGAAGTGGAGCCAGTGGCAAAATTGGAGGCAAGGACAACTGCGATGCGGACATGCTCACAGAGTTGTGTCCACGCGAGGATTGTTTCTCTGACAGGACCGAATATTTGCCGGACGAGGATTTGCAGAAGAGGTTGGAACTCGGTGAATGATCCTCACTGTGGTCCTCACAGGGGGAAGACGGCGGAGAGGCTGAGCAGAYGAGAATCCTTGGACTATCAGCTGGAGAATTTGGGATTGTGTTATCTGTTTGGGTCATCTGTCTTAGCTCCGTGTCTAATCCGATCCAGAAGGCCTGTGAGTTGCTCGTTGTAGAGATCACCGTGGTACGGTGCATCATCTCGATGAGCTTCTTGCAGTGCTGTTTCGCTGTGCCCGGTGGGCGTTTCATGAACAGGACTCGGGGCACCATGTCCAAGAACACTCTGCGCACCCAGTGAGGCATGCTGTGGGTTTTTGGTGACCGGTGATGTACGTTCAACACAAAAACTGTAATTATGATGGAAAGTGTGACAAACACCATGGTGAACAGAAGGTATTCACCTATCAGTGGAATCACCAGTGATGTAGATGGTATAATCTCTGTGATCAGCAGGAGAAACACCGTCAGGGACAGCAGGACTGAAATACATAAAGTAATCTTCTCTCCACACTGAGATGGTAAATAAAACACCAGAACGGTCAAACAGGAGATGAGCAGACAGGGGATGATGAGGTTGATCGTGTAGAACAAAGGGAGCCTCCGAATGATGAAGTAATAAGTGATGTCTGCATAGATCTCCGTGCAACACTCGTACTTCTTTGTGTTGTACTTGCCCACTGCGTTGATGATGACCCACTCGCCACTCTCCCAGTAGTCCATCTGGTCCACGTCACTGGCCATGCTGATCAGATCGATCTTGGCCCGATCGTAGGTCCAGGAACCGAACTTCATCTTGCAGCTTTGCTGGTCGAAGGGGAAAAATGTGACGTCGATGCTGCACGAAGACTTATAAATGGCCGGAGGCGTCCACTTTATGTGTCCATCATGAAACAAATGGGCCTTCGTGAGGTGAGTTACTGCAAAGTCACCATCCGCACTACAGAGGAAGAAAGGGACAAAAGGGACAAAAAAAAGGAGACAGACAAATTTGGAGAATCTAATTAACTTRTAAAGTCAACTCAATTAAAGATGGCTGCCACAACAACTGACCTTAGAAAACACAGAAATGGCTGAGTGATGTTAGATCTGCTTTTATCTATTTTCCGTTAACTCTAGGAGTCAAATATGTCTGTTAGCAGAATATTCCAAGCCAAACTGTAAAATTAGATACAAATTAAATGATTATTAATTCGTATGGTCTCAAAGAAGGTACTAAAGTTTATAAAACAGATAAATGATGGAAAAAATATTTTTTTCAGTTAAATATGATGTTCTTTCATGTCAGTATTAAAATAGAAAATGTTCTCTGCACCTTAAATCTGTAAAGGCAGCAGGTGCTCTGAATTTTTTTTCTGCTTATTATCTCCCTTGGATTTATTCGTTTGTGTTCTCTAAACCTTTGATTTCACTGCAGACTGGCTTTCACACACCTGAGCACCAGTTAMCTTTCACCACATGACCCGACGGTCACTGAAAGCAACAGCACAGACAAGATTTAATCGTTTTTATCGCTGCACTATTTTACAAAATCATTGAGCTCCTTTTTTCTCTCTAAAACACAATTTTGCTGTTTTTCGCAGGTATTTCTGTAATAAAGTTTAAAACATTTGTTTTCTGTTTGTCTTCAATTGTCATTTAGCTTTTAATATCTTGTACGTTTCTAAAAAAAGGTTTTTAAAATAAATGAAGGTATATTTGTGTCATACACTCTCACTAGAGGCTTTTATCGACAGTTTGTTGAAACGTGTCCAATTACACCCCAAAAATTCTTTCCCAGTAGAAATACTTACTGAAGATTCTTTGTAAGACCATCCATTAAGACTGACCTTGTTCACATTTATTCTGGTTAAATTACTTGATGAAACTGGCACAAGATGAGATGTTTGGCACAATAACAG